GTTCAAAGTGTTGGCGTAGCGAAGTTGGTAGTTTCAAGGTTCGCCAATGCGGTCGTCTCGAATTCGATTCCCGGTTCCGGTACAGTGTAAATCATTTGGTGGTGTGCTTATAACTAATTTCGATTGATTTAATTCGCAGTAAAATAAATTTGATAAATTCCTCCACCAAAAAAAAAGCGTAAACAATATTTAACTTGGCGTCAAGAAAAAACTGTGTAGTGATTATTGGATAATCGGGTAAAGGTTGAGTAAGCGCCTTTGAAGTTCACACACAACTAAACAGCAGAATAACAGCTGTATAGAAGCGTAAATGGATATGCAATAAGAGCTTGCCACTACCGTCTCAACAGCCATAATAAGCTGACTAAGTTCGCCAGATTTGCTTGTATAGAGGTTGAGTAAAGGTTTCCTCATATCATTTAACATTTTAATACAGCTTGAGGCTGTATAAATGAAATGAGTAAAGCGTTTACATTGCGAAAATTGTTAGTTGGGCATTCTGGGTTACATGTTTACAAGGTGCAAAAAGTCCCAAACCAGAATGAAAAGCAAAACATCACTGCAAAAACCCGCGCCCGGAAACTTTACACGAAGTTGCTCACCAAATCGTGTTGCATTGTGATGGATGACGAAACTTACGTCAAGGCTGACTTCCGTCAACTTCCCGCACAGCTAAAAAAAAAGTAGTGTAAATTTCCGTTATACCCCGTTCACATTACAGCCTATATCACGTAATATAGGCTGTCTTGCAATGAGCACTCATATATAGGATTTCCAGTGAAAACTAGATGTATGAGTGCTCATTGCAAGACAGCGTATATCACGTGATATACGCTGTAATGTGAACGGGGTATTACTATGATGCACATAAATGGAGCCTCATATATCATACAAGTTTAGATTATAGATCGTGTAAATTTATGAGACATATCATGGAATATTCCATATATTGTATGCAACTGTCCACTTTTGTTTGCAACATTTCTTGCAAGCTGCTAGTTTACGTAAAAAAGAAATTTACATGTATGAATGTTTGCATGCATGGATGTTTACATCGCCAGTAAAATTCAGAATTTTTTTGGTGTGCGGGCAAGAATATTTCGTTGCCAAGTCTAAGTTCGACGTTCCGGAGGATGCTCAAAACAAGAAATTATCGAAATTTCCTGATCTGGCAGGCGATTGGCGGATGTGGTGAAATAAGCGCTCTATTACTCCCAGAACAATCAACGGGGCGATTTACACGGAAGAGTGCCTTAAGAAGTGAATCTTGCCATTCATAAGGAAGCTCAAAGGATCAACTCTGTTTTGGCCTGATCTAGCATCCTGTTACTACGCTCGAAACGTGTTGGAGTGGTACCGAGCCAACGGAGTCAATTTTGTTATAACGATATGAACTCACCAAATTCACCGGGCAATTATGAAGACGGAACTTCGCAACCATACTAAAACTATTAAAACAGAGCTGTAGTTGAAGAAAATTTGGGTAAAAACAACAAACAACAACACTAGAAAAATCTAAAGAGCCTAAATTTACAAAGAGACGACATGTCAAAATTGGAACAATCGATTGTCTGTCAAAGTCATAGGAAAAGTCATTCCAATCGAGCAGAAGACCTGTCAAATGGATAAAATGTCAGGCTCTTTAGAAAAATCGGTTACACAAAATTTGATGGGTGGAGTGAAAAGGAAGGTGCGGGCATTCGGGATGGGAGACGAAATTGAATAAAACAAATTTTCTTTTCCTATACTTAACATCTAGTGCCAATCGCCAACGGACATCGATTGCCATCCATTGACGGCAATCGAATGTGCAGGAAGGCAGCTTCCACACCTGCGTAGGATATCTCACCCAGTCAACACACATGGGCCGGGACCAACGGCTTGACTTCTCTTCCGAAGGAAGACTTGACCACAGATTGTTATGCCTCAGAAAAATCCCATCGACCTCGGCTGGGATTGAACAAAGACCCATTGGGGTGAGAAAGCAGTCACGCTTACCACTACACCGTCGGTGGCGGCTAAAACAAATTTTGTAAATCATAACTCATTAGTAGTTTTTCATTCACTGAAAATTTCAAGAAAATCCAATAATGGGTTTAATTTTGGTGAGTAAATATGTGTGTGCCATTTTTATCGAATACACCCTTTATCTTCGTAACCAGTTGACCGATTCAATTTGTTCTATGAGACCATGAAATCTTTCATTTAATGGTTGTTGCGTCCAATTCGGTTCAGTTGTTGCCGAGAAACATGACTTAGTTCCTAACATCCATATTGGATCCGGAAATCCAAAGTAAATCCGGAAATAATTGACCAATTCCAAAAATATTCAAAAGCGTTCTATGGGACGATGACACTTTCCATTTGGTGGTTGTTGCGCCCAATTACAGCGGTTGCCGAGAAACACATTTTAACTAATCTTTCGTCTAATCTTTACAACCCCCTCTTCCCCACAGCTCTTTCAATGCATGTTGAGGTCCCCAACAACTATGGAAAATTTGAACAAATTTGTTTATAATCTTGATTTGAGGGAGAATTTTAAATTTTGTATGGAAAAATGCATGAGAAACGGAACGATTTTATTCATTTGCTTACCAAATATCCAAATTATGCTCAAATTTCACCAAAAATCGGTCTTATATTGAACATACTATACAAAACAACTTTGTCGAAGACTGCGAATTGATTTGATATTTGTACAAAGTCGGATTTTCAAGCGATATGCATACCCTTCTTTGTAAAAAGGGTAAAAAGAAGTTTTTCTGGCAAAACGGCGGTCATTAACGAGGAAATTTCATGTACGTATTAATAGTAAGATTACCTGTAAATTATTATGGCCAAAGTCTAGGTATTTCATTCCCATATTATTCCGTGATAACGCAAACAAATGTGCAAACATTTTATAAGCATGATCAGGACTTGATTTGGAAACGATTGAGCTGTGTTAAGCAGAATCGATAACTTGAACCACCACAATTGGATGTTGCTATAACTAATTTACTAAAACCGATCCACTCAGCCTATAAACTACCACAACGGTATTAATTGGTGGGAGCCTTGTTAATTCAAGAAAAAAACATATCTCACCCCTACCCAAAAACAACAGGCAGTGGATCACTCATCAATCAATCAGACAAGGATGAACCGATCAGTTGCCGTTACCACATCCAAAAACAGAATATTGTTGACAACAATGATGACCGAATAAAGTAAAAAACAATTTTCAATCCGAATCTCTTCAATTTCGGTTTTGCGCTGGCGTTGTTGACCTCGTAAAAGTTAAAGACCTCTAGCAAAAGTATGGACGTCTGCCAAAAGCTGTTCCAATCTGACTGTCAAAATGGTGGATTGGAACATTTTTTTCAGTTTTATGGTCTCAGTCGTTCATACTTTTATTAGAGGGCTTTAGTAAAAGTCCGCTGTCTGCACGTACACAAAAAGTAAAACGAAACTGAAAGCATCTTCCCAATTAGGGTGCGAAACCATTTTGGCATACTTCACTACACTTCGGTAAATCAGCTTGTTTACAGCATTCATAATTCAACTCATGAGTAAAGAATTTGATGCATGGATGTAGCTGCTTGTCTTCATTGTTTTTGACGCATATGACGTACATGGGTCCCATATGCTGAAGTAGTGCTACACCCTACCACGCTCAATTGGCGTTGACGGCGACTCTGTAGCTCTTTACTCCTATGAGAAAATCCATAAGCAAACGTCAGACTGTGCGTGAAACATGGCGGACTTTGTACTATCCTTTCACTCCACCGAAAATTCCCATAAGACACTGTCCATATTTGCTGGAAGATCAATTTTTTCGACGGTGCCGTCAACGCCAATCCTGAATGATTTCGTTTTCCAACTATATAGGGTGAAGCACTACTTCGTCATACGGGACCCATATCCGATATACGCCTCAAGAACAATAAAGACAATCAGCTAAATCTAACATTCATGCATTAAGTTCTTTGCTCACGAGCAGGATCGCACTGGCAATAAGTTTGGATTCACACGGGTTGGAACTGATTAATAAACAAATTCGCTATAGGACTCCTTTGATGAACTTAGTGAAACATCGTGAACTTTACCAACGCTGCTCACGAGTTAAATTAATTAAGACTGAAGTGAAATAAATTCTACGGGGATTTCAAATTACAGATTTAAGGGGGGTGCCGAGGCAAAGTGAAGTATGACCATTATCGTAGGAATCGGGGATGCAGGAGTTGCTATACTCCTGAATGAAATAGAAATGAATCTGATTCTGATTCTATAGCATTCGATAGTCTGCTCTGTAAACTCGCACGTTTGCACCCCAGAAAATTTCTAGTAGTGCTAGCACCCTATTGAACATACCTACCCCTTTTCCAGCGCATAGGTACTTTCAACGCCTGACAAAATTCGCGCTTACATTATCACGATTTATATTTCGAATGATTCACCGTCTGATGCCCTCCAACGTGCGGAAGGTGTCAGGGCATCTTCCGAAACTACACGCAGCCAGGTTTCACCGAAAGTTTATTGAACATTTGTTTACTTTCATTCGTGCTTCTTTTTCTTTCATCCGACCATTTCGAATGCCTCTACACATGAAGGCCGACCGGTTCGGGTTAAATCGTGCTGCATGGCGCCGCACGTAGAATCATTCAAAGAAAGCAAAAATTGAATTAGTTTTTGGCGCAGCGGAAGGAGTCAGAAGGGATATCTGGAACAAGCTGCCAATCACGATTGGCATTGTTACGGAAAGTGAGTAATGTGACTTAATTTGCCTGCCACTGCTGGTGAGCGGTGGAATTCTATATGCACACCGGGCAAGTTCGTCGCTTGTTGAGCGTGCCTTAGGTCTTTCAAAATGTTTAATGCTTTTTTCGAGCACTCGCTTTGGTGTGAGGCAATAATATTAAGATGTTTCGAAATAAGTTCAGGAAATTGTCACTGCGTGATCGCTGCCGTTGGTTATATGCAGATTTTCGATATACAGAGAAATACTCACTCAATGTTGGTTATAAAAGTGGACACGTTTGAAATTGAAGTTTCAGTTTTGTCAAAGATTTCGGTCGGAAATGAGCTACTAAGCAATTCTGTCTAAACATGATTGGAAGGATTCTATTCGTTGTACTTTTTTCGATACAATCGACGCGTAGTGACATTTTTGCAAGTAAAAGCATCACTCGAGCATTGGTTCCGCCGCGAAAAAGTTCCGAGTATAGAAACACCTATTCTACAACGACGTCCCTCCCAGAAGTGATCATCAATCGCCAGCCAGTGAGAACAACTACTGCTCCTCAACGAGATTTCCAAGGATATTACTACGATCCTCCAAGTAACACATATATCCCACCCGAGCAGCCATTCGCAGATGAGCCGCAACCACCACTACAGATTCCTCCTCTTTCGGATCAATATCCGTCGGTGGATAATCAATATCTGCCACCAAACGAAGATCCTGAGACTCCCGATAATGTCCCATTTGCTGACCCACCAGTCAACGATTATCTACCACCACCTCAGCAACCACCACAGCGTGATGAAATTATTATTGTGACAAATGAACCCGGATATCAGTATAACCCACCGAGTTCACCAGCTCCTCCGTTTGCGGACGAAGGTTTCTCTAACCCTTCGACGGATAATGGATATAACTATAATCGACCTTCCAATGCTTACCTTCCTCCGACAGGAAGAGCATTGCGGGATGAGCTGCCAAATAATGCACGCCCCATAAGACTACAACTGAACGATCTGACCTGCCTGGACAACACTGGAGGATTCTTCCGATCTTCTCTCACCATTCAAAGTGCTATTGACAGTGTTCCACTAGTTGATGTGACTAGTGATGGTGACCTAAATGGGTGTGATGTTCGGGTTGCTCAGAATAGACTACTGGTGGACATTGATGCAAGTAATTTTAACAAGTGTGGTGTACAACAGTGCGGTGTCAATGCACGAGAGCTGTGTTTGCGGTTGAGATTTCCTCAAATAGTTGACATGCGAACCGCTGCTGATTCAATTCTTACCCTACAGTGCAAAATACAGCCACGGGTCGTAGCAAAAACACATTCTGTTCGACTTGGTATTAACAATGACATTCAAGAAAGAAGTGCTTCGGGAACGTTTGCCTATGGAGGAACCCAACGGCCATTTCGGACACAGTTGGGGCTTTTTCGGAGATCAGACAGTGGTAACGGCTTCACTCGATCACTCGAACCTGGCGGATCAGTAGTTTTGGGAGAAGAATTGCTTCTGCGTACACAAGTTCGAAGCGGTGATGGTGAGTTCTTCAGTGGTTGCAAGATTTGCTCGGATTTGTAAGGCCAGGAGTCTGCATTTACCTAGAACATTTAGATCAAATTTTATAGGACTCCCTGTTGCAGGTTGGAACTTTACCCGGCTGTCCGATGTCGTCATGCAACGGCAATCCCCTGCGGGGAATGTATTGAACTCCGTGACCCTGGTGACTACGAACGGTTGCCTGAATCCAACAATGCGAGCCATTAGTCCACTGGCTCCTGTTTCAGAATCACCCCTCAGTTATAGATTGGCTTTCAGGGCAGCCATGTTCCAAGGAATGCGCAGTGGAGACGAGATGGTCATGAGAGTGCGAATAGTTGGATGCGTTGACCGGCGGGAGTGTGCGGTGGTAAGTTGAAGATCTATCTTTTGCTCTATGAAAACACTTGAAATCGATCACTTTTCATTCGAAGTAATTGATGTAAGTCGCAATATTTATTAGAATTCAGTCTTTCGTCTAATATGATTGGTAAAAGGCGATTTAAAAATGACATCCACCGTTGAGGGAGGGATGGAGACGGTCCTAAACTTTGTGACAGAACGTGTACTAGATAATGGAAAGTGCGTGATACATAGAAAATTAATTCGAAATTGTTGAAGTCATTTTGGAATCGCTCCTAATGTTAATTAACACAAAAAGAAAACATATAACATATTCCATATTCCAGGAGAATTGCGCAACCGTTCGGTCCAAACGAGACATCGCAGATAATTCCACAGATGATACCTTCCAAGAGGACGAGCTTCCTTCAGAGGTAGCATCGATTTCATTCCGGATCATGTTGCCTTCCAATTCTACAATCGACCTTCGACCTAGTGCTGAACCAACGACGCAGTTTCTCACGCTCTCGGTGGCAGTGGTCATCTCTTTGATAATGCTCATAGCGTTAATCGTGTTGATTACCGTCATAAAACTGTACCGAACCAAGCAGCTTCACTACGACGAGTATCGATCGGATTAAGTGTAATAAAACGCGACGCGATCAGCTCTATTTCCCCGATGTTCCGAACGAAAGTGAACGTGAGTTGAAGAACTGGTCAACCGGCGCACGTTGCGGTAGCTCTTAGCGCATGCCGTTGCTATTAAGATACCCAGCCTGAGAGTGATTGCGCGTGTGTACTTTACTAGGTGGTCAGGCCAAACAGATGCAATAAAACACAAAAAGAGCCAATCCAATCACTAAACAGTGTTGCAGCAAAAGAAGGAAAAAATATCTGTTATTCATGAGCTGTGTCTGGTGCAGTTATCGATGAGATAAATAAGTTATTATATTTATTGTATGGTGCTAAGGAAAAATGCGGGCAAGCACGAACTCAACAAAAACTGGAAGCCTAATGAAATCCCTTGAGAATTATATTACCTCATCAACGTATCGTCAAGCCAAGTCAGCCGCGTAGTGATTCCTGCTAATCACAAAGGCAATGAAAGATCATAGTAACATAGTAATGAGACCACGAGCTACCTCGCTTTTTACGGCGCTAATGTAATTTAATTAATTATATATTTATTTTGTAGTATGTGTAACGATGTGTATTATATTGAGTGACAATAAATCAATTTAATGGTAAAAGTTTTATTGAATAAGTAGCAGTAAATGATCATTGGGTAGTTATTTTCTTTTTATATTTCAATTGTTGGTCTGCACTTAAACGGCGAGGGAATGAAAAACATATCCAAAAGAGCCGCACAGAAAAGCTCCAAATCTGGGTAAAGTCGATATTTAAACGTCAAGCATTTCACTATCACTGTATATTCAAATGGGTTGAATGAGACACTCCAAATACAGGGTCGATGTGAACGAACTGCTTCACAAAAATATCAAGCTCACTTAAAAGAGTGCCGCTCAATTAACCGTGCAAAATACCACCAAAGATCAATCAAAATTGTCAAGCGCACATAAATTTGATTACCTTCCGATAACATTACTTGTTTCCTTTTTTAATAAACGAACAAGAGTACACGGACGCCGATTGGCCGCGCCGCCCTCGAGAGACCGAAGCCGACTGGGACTGGCTTCATCAACCCGAAGCGACCGAACCTCTTATGGACATTTCTGGTTCGTTCGACTTGTACGCACCCAGCTCGTCACAGTTAGCGGCCGTTTTCAGAAGCGTGTGAAAGAAGCAATAAATTATTACTGAACCTGCGACACCATCCTTTCACCCGGTAGTTGCATGCCATGCAAGGATGGCCCAAAGCTACTTTACCCGCGGTAGGATGAATCTTGATGTTGCTTTATTTTATGGGCTTGTTTTTTTTTTTTATTTCTTTCCATACAACTTCACCTAAGCGGTGAATCTTGTCTTGTCTGCGGCGCGTTCTCCATAATCAGCCAACGTTAAGTAAAGGGTGACAGTGCGGCTGATCATGCCAAGATAAATTAAATTCAAACAAATATCTCCACCCTTATCAGTATCGCGATCAGTTTAGTGGTTTCAATAGCGTTTTGGAAGATGTACGTTAGAAAGGAGAATATGGGGTTAACAATGAAGCTAACAGTTAAAGGTCTTGAAACATGATTTAACTGTGTAACTAAGAAAAACTCTTGTATATTCGTAAAAAGACGTAAGCAGAGAATGCAACTGCATTCAGCGATTTATGCTTCAATTTCTTTAAGCACTAATGGCGGTAAGTTCCAACTCGGATTAACTTTCAATACCTGCCCTAATTGGAGGATCTGCAAAATGTTTGTTAAGGATTATATTGATTAACATCGACGTCGGCAACAGAACAGCCCGATATTCGTGATCGGGATTTAATCCAATGATAATAATGGTTAGAGTTTACCTGTGGTGGCCAGTGAATTTTCATTTTGAAATTCCCGGTTTTCCCGGTTCAAATCTTTAAAAAATCCCGGTTGTTAATTTTCAACAAAAAAACGAAATTGAACGCAATTTTAGGAACGTGCTCAAAGGAATTTACTAAAAGGATAAAAAAATGTGATTTAAGAAGATTCCCAAGATTGATGAGCTTTAAAATTTGGGTAGTGCCTGAAACTAGAATTTTTTTTTCAAAATTTGTGATTGATAACAATCTTCGTGATTTGGAGTAAAAATAATTAAAATGTGAGATTTTGAAAAAAATTCCAGTTCACAGATTTGAAAAAAAAAATCATACTTATGAGTCGTGGAGTCATAATTGTCACGCTCTGCGACTTGGAAGCATTTTAAGGGTTATAACAAATTACATAACAATCTATAGAATCTAGCGGACAAACCCTGGAATTTTTAGTAAAATTTAAAATAATTCAAAGTGTTGATTTCAAACAAATATTGAGAAGGGTTCCCACACAGTTTTCGAAGGAAAAGTTCTGAGCAGATTTCCAGAACTATTGTGACATGAAAACCCTAGAAATTGTTAGATGAATTTGGAAGGATGTCTGTGGAGAAGAATACAAGTGCTAAATTGAATTGTTATGTAATTTTAGAAGATTTAAAAAGGAGTTGTGAAAAAGAAAACTTTGCGGAAAATTCCTACGTGATTTTGAGGAGATTTGTATGGGTATCATGAGGAAAATGACAGATGAATTTTAATAAGAATTCCAAGAGCATTATGATCAAAATTCAACAAAAAACAGAGTTCTTCGAATGTTCTGGCAATAATTTCAACCCTAGTGCGAAAGATTCATCAATTAGTAAGAAATTCTTTAAAATACTCCAAGGGGTTTCTAAATAAAATTTCGAAAGATTTCTGCTGTTTTGAATAGAGTTAAAATAAATTTTTGAAAAGATTTTCAAAGGAATAAAAGTCTCCGGATAGGCTCAAGGGAATTCTAAGAAGGATTCCAATTAAATTCTTAGAAGGGGTTGCAAGGAAATTCCAAAAACAATTCAACGGTAATTAATACTCGGAGTGTTTTCTGGTTAATTTCAGAACAATTTCAAGATAATTCAGAGCAGAATTCCAAGTTAATTCTGGAATTCATATCATGCGAATTTGGAACAACGAAAAACTAAAACCCCGGAAAAGAATAATTCATGTTCGGTTTTTACAAATTTTTGTTTCCAAAGTCCAGCATCTTCAATATTTTCTTTTAAGGACCATGCACTTTACACCTGAAATTGAGACGACAAAAATCAATTAGCAATATTGCTGACTGATTAAATTCTAAAAACAATAAGACGGGAAACTGAAGAAAATTATGCAGTAAATAGAGCAAGACATTCATTTGGTATAGGATCACTCTGTTTAAATGGGTAAAAAAATTACCCATTATGAATATTTGTTACTCACAAATGCATACTTACTACATACTCATAAATGGAAAAAAAAATTATTTATTTAATGGATAGTCCCAGTTGCTTACTTTGTAGTCATTATTGGATATTTTGCGGTAACAGTGTAAAAAAAATTATTGCAAATGCGCTTTTTTAAAGACAGCATTTAGCATCTGTGGTCTACACGCTATTTTGAGACTACTCATTTTTGAGTCGAACTCAGTCCCAAAAGGGAAGTTACCCAAAAATGGGCATCAAACTATATTCATATCACAGGGACAGCACATGACAGAGAAACAATAACGAATAGTTCGACAGTAAGTATGCATCGATTTTCTCTTTGCATTGCTACAGCTAAGCGAAACAGTTATTTGTTCAATGCAGAGTTGTAACAGGTTGTATTGGCTGTCAAAAGTAACAGCAAACGCACCGAGAAACGTTAATTCTCGCGAGTTTTTAACAAAAGAGAAAATCGACGAGTAGAATCGATCATCGCGTTTACGCCCTTATGCATGCTAATTGTCGACTTACAATATGCAACATAACTAAGTGGTGACATCTGTCGGTTGGTACAGTAAATAGTATATGCTAAGGGTAGAGGTAGTAGTTGTCGCCTGCACGAACATACTCCTCCCCCCCAAAACAACGGTTTTTATTTCATTTGATGAGAATAAATCTGTTGTTGACTTTGCACGTACAATGATGAAAAACGAGCAGCTTGTTGCCCATTGTTGACCGATGAAGAAAGTACGGTGGTCCAGTCATGCAGTCTGACGAATATCCAACGTAGACACTTGCCCGTTGTTGATGAGCATACGCTTCTAGCCGAACACAGAGCCGTTTGCAGCAGTATTGGAAGATGAGCTAGATTCGAGCGGGATGCTCTACTAGATGGCTACTTTAATCGTAGCCGGTAGCGTAGTTGAATTATTATCCACAGCACTGCACTCACTGACTGGTGCTGTTCGCAAAAAGTGTCCGGTGTTGTGGGATCGATGCAGTTGGATGATCACATTACTTTTAATACGGTTCGCGCTATCCTGGTCACGGCACCATATAATCGTGCACAGTAGGACCCGATTTTCTACGTTGTGTTATCATTAATTAAAAGAAACCGATTTATTGGCCGGCCTGCCATGGCGGAGGCATTAAACTATATTAATATCACAGGGATATATATAATATGCCTTTTTGAATTGTTAACATAGTCTAAAATAGCAAAATCGAGGCCTAATCTTATTAGCCCGAATGTAACACTAGCCCAAAAATAATAATTTTATGAGATTTTTGATTATTTTAAACAAGAGCACTTCTTTCAGGCTGTATGTGTACAACTAATGAAGTTTTAATATGATTATTAAAAAGGACTTTGGTAAAATTTGTGATTTCAGGTTGAATGATTTGGAAGTTTGATTAGATATCAGAATCAAATGTTCTAGAGAAGATTTATCTTTCTTTCAAACATAAACAGTTCATACTGTCATGAATCATTAGAATCTAATATCAGAATATCAGATATTTAATCATTTCAGAAATTTTATTTATTTTCTACAAAGCAGTGATGGAAAAGTTCATCAAAGTTCCCTATGACTCGCGAACTTTTCCCTTGGTGAACTTCGTGAAATATCGCGAACTTTTCCAACACTGCTACAAAGATACAAATCCAAAGTATTTTCAAACGATTCGGACTTGTGTTACATTTGACCTTATGTTGTATTTGAGCTAGTGGTATTCTAGTGACGTTCCGCCAAATGCCAATCGGATTAGTGACATTCGGGCTAATGTTATAGAATCCCTCAATATACCTCTTATTCAATTAGCCATAACTAGCTCATTAAAGTATCCTGAGCGCATCCAATGCATAGGGTCAACGGTTAATAGAGCTCCTTTATTTAGAAGATTTTCAGCCGTACTGGTTCATCTTCGGCAATGCGTCAACGTCAACTCA